CTAGACCCTTCATCAGAAATTTCTGATGAAGGGTCTAGGCCCGAAACGTCAGCCTTTCTGCTCCTATGATGCTGCTTGGCCTGCTGTGTTCATCCAGCTCTGCACCTTGTTGTCTCTTAAAAATAGTTAACCTAGCTGAAACCAAACTAGTAGTTCTAAATACTGTCTATGCAAGTGCTGCAAATTCACAGTTTGCATGTAATGTTTGCTGTACTGGATTATCATTTGAGAATGCATGCAAATATGGCACAAAATAGTTATTTAAAAAATGCTTTGATTAAGGTGTTGTTGTTCTTTATTCTGAGAATGCATCCAGTCATTTTATATCACTCCACAGAAGCAACATTTCAAAATTGTTTTCTTTTGTTCTTAGGATATTGGTGTTACTGCTTAAGCCAGCAATTATTACCCATCCCTAATTGCCCAGAGGGCATTTAAGAGTCAGTCACATTATTATGGGCCTGGAATCATATGTAGACCAGACCAGGTAAGGGTAACAGATTTCCTTCCCAAAAGGTCAATAAATCAGATGAGGTTTTGCAACAATTGACAGTGGTTATACAGTTGCCATTAGGCTAGCTTTTTATTGAATGTAGATCTCTCCAAGATGATGAAATTTCAACCTGTGTCCCCGAACATCCTGGGTTCTAGTCCAGTGACATTGCCACTGCAATATATGTACATGTAGCAGTGAAATTCCAAGCAATTCCCCTTTTACTAAGTATTCAAATTAAATCCATGCTGATGGGCTGGGAGGGAATTAGAGATTTCAACCATGAATCATGCATTTTCATCTCAAAATTGGAGAACCAACAGAAGAAAGCATGGTGCAGACTGTGGGCAGCCGTTTATATGCCTGATTCAGTTTTCAGACAAGTCCTTAAATGGATAGCCAACATACCTATTTTTGTTTTTACTTGTATGATGCTCGCTTATCAAGAGATAGCAGGTCAGTGAGAAACTGAACTCCATTCACTTTGAAACTGACTTTAAAACAATTTTGGTCCAGAGTGATGAATGTTCTTCACTGTGGGGCTTCTGTGAAATGTGACTGGGTGAACTCTCAAACCAGGTCCAGTAGCTGCTCTGTGCCATGAATGTTCTACAGTCTTGCAATCCACTTTGTTTTTCCACTGCAATGTTGGTAAAATGATTTTTTCCAGAATGCAAACAATCAACAGAAGTTTCCTGTTCTCTTTTACTCCAGACGTACATTGTCAACTTATTTAAGGACCTGATAGACCAGCAATCGTGGAGTGATGATGGCTCGGTCTCTGAACGGTTGCTGCGCAGTACGTTGCTGGTATTTGCCTGTGTTCGCGAGTACCAGCCCTGTGTTGACAAAGCAGAGGAATACTTCAGGAAATGGATGGATTCCAATGGTACATTGAGGTTGGTACTCAGCAGTAATCAGTTTTAACTACGAACAGAGGAACAATGATAAGGAGTAGACCATTTGGCCCTTGACCCTGCTCAACCGTTCAATAAAATCATAGCTGATTTGCTGATAATCTCAAATCCCGATTGTCACTCAGACTCCTTCTCTCCTACCGGTTTTAAGAAAAAGGCTTCTGAAATACTGACAAGTTAATCATTAAATCCTCCTCATGTACACAGACCAAATCCCACATGCCACAAGTTCAGATCCAAACTCTAAAATAATTGATATTAATATATATAAATCACACATTTTTCATCACACATATTGTCCTCCATTTGCCAGATCTTTGACTATTCCTAAATCTATGAATGCGTCTTCTTGTAGTCTTCTATGTCCTGTTAACAGCATAACCATCTTACCTATTTTGTGTCATTGGCAAATTTCACAACTGCATTTCCTTCCTTTCATTCAAATCACTTGGGTAAATTGTGAGCATTTAAGGTCCTAGCAATGACCCCTGTAGCACACCACTCATCAAATCTTGCCAACCAGAAAATGACCCATTTATGTCTACACTCTTTTTTCCTGTTGGCCAGTCAATCTTCTATCCATGCCAACATGCTACCCTCTACATGGTGAACTTTTATTTTCCACCATAAGCTTTGATGTAGCACTTTTATCAAGTGCTTCCTGGAATTCTAATTACAGTATATCCAGAGGTCTCCCTTTATCAAAATACGTTACTTCCTCAGATAACTCCAATAAATATCTGAACTTGATTTCCCTTTCACTACACTGTGTTGCCTCTGTCTGATTACCATCAATTTTCTAACTGCCTTGTAATAACTTATTCCTTATGACAGATGTTAAGCTAAATTGGCCTATAGTTTCCTACTTTGTCTCTCCCTCCCTCTTTGAACAAAGGATTTATATTACCATTGGTTATGTCATTAGACCTGTAAACCCAGAGGTTTGGACTTTAATTAAGAAAAGATGAATTCAGCTCTTCAGAAATTGCAATCCACTTTGAAAAGCAATTGGGAGGTAAAGTGCTAACACCAATTAAACTGACTATGAAGCTATTGAATTGTCATTAAAATGCCCAGCTGGTTCACGTTTCTGAGATAACAAGGTGTAGAGCTGGATGAACACAGCAGGCCAAGCAGCATTAGAGGAGCATGAAGGCTGACGTTTCGGGCCTTCTTCAGAAATGGGGGAGGGGAAGGGGGTTCTGAAATAAATAGGGAGAGAGGAGGAGGTGGATAGAAGATGGATAGAGGAGAAGATAGGTGGAGGGGAGACAGACAGGTCAAAGAGGCAGGGATGGAGCCAGTAAAGGTGAGTGTAGGTGGGGAGTTAGGGAAGAGATAGGTCAGTCCAGGGAGGACGGACAGGGCAAGGGGGCGGGATGAGGTTAGTAGGGAGGAGGTGGGGGTGGGGCTTGAGGTGGGAGGAAGGACAGGTTAGGGAGGCGGGGACAAGCTGGGCTGGTTTTGGGATGCGTTAGGGGGAAGGGGAGATTTTGAAGCTTGTAAAGACCACATTGATACCATTAGGCTGCAGGGTTCCCAAGCGGAATATGAGGTGCTGTTCCTGCAACTTTCGGGTGGCATCGTTGTGGCACTGCAGGAGGCCCAGGATGGACATGTCGTCTGAGGAATGGGAGGGGGAGTTGAAATGGTTCGCGATTGAGAGGTGCAGTTGTTTTGTGCGAACCGAGCGTAGGTGTTCTGCAAAGCGGTCCCCAAGCCTCCGCTTGGTTTCCCCGATGTAGAGGAGGCCACAACGGGAACAGCGGATACAGTATACCACATTAGCAGATGTGCAGGTGAACATCTGTTTGATGTGGAAGGTCTTCTTGGGGCCTGGGATGGAGGTGAGGGGGGAGGTGTAGGGGCAGGTGTAGCACTTCCTGCGGTTGCAGGGAAAAATGCCGGGTGTGGTGGGGCTGGAGGGGAGTGTGGAACGGACATGGGTCTCCTGGAGAGAGTGGTCCCTCCGGAAAGTAGATAAGGGTGAGGAGGGAAAAATGTCTTTGGTGGTGGGCTCGGATTGCAGATGGCGGAAGTGTCGGAGGATGATGCGTTGGATCTGGAGGTTGGTGGGGTGGTATGTGAGGATGAGGGGGATTCTGTTTTGGTTGTTATTGTGGGTAGGGGGTGTGTGGGATGAGTTGCGGGAAATGCGGGAGACACGGTCGAGGGCGTTCTCGACCACTGAGGGGGGGAAGTTGCGGTCCTTGAAAAACGAGGACATCTGAGATGTACGGGAGTGGAATGCCTCATCCTGGGAGCAGATGCGGCGGAGGCGAAGGAATTGGGAATTGGGGATGGCATTTTTGCAGGAAGGTGGGTGGGAGGAGGTGTATTCTAGGTAGCCGTGGGAGTCGGTGGGTTTGAAATGGATATCAGTTTCCAGGTGGTTGGGGCCCGAAACGTCAGCCTTCCTGCTCCTCTGATGCTGCTTGGCCTGCTGTGTTCATCCAGCTCTACACCTTGTTATCTCAGATTCTCCAGCATCTGCAGTTCCTACTATCTCTGGTTCACATTTTTGCCCTTTTTCAGGTAGGAAACCTGCTAATCTTATCTGGATACTGTATGTGACACCAATGGAACAGAAAAGTGGTTCCTTTATTCCTTTATTCAGTAATGGGATGAGGATGTCACTGGCTAGGCAGCATTTATTGCCCATCCCAAGTTGCCCAGAGGGTAGTTCAGAGTCAGCTGTATTGCTGTGGGTCTGGAGACACATGTGGGCCAGACCGGATAAGATTGGCAGTTTCCTTTCCTAAAAGGAATTAGTGAACGAGATGGGTTTTTCCAACAATCGACCCGCATTCACAGTCATCATTAGATTCTTAATTCCAGATGTTTTATTGAATTCAAATTCCACCATCTGCTATGTCGGGATTTGAACCCAGGTCCCCAGAACATAATCTGGGTCTCTGGATTAACAATACCATTAGACCATCGCCTCCCCCAGAGCCATCATCACTCCATGATTGCCGGTCCATCAGGTTCTTAAATAAGTCGACTCTTTAACCAATGTCTGAGGTGGATCGGAAGATTATTCAGTTGTTAAAACAAAACCAAGTACTGTGGATGCTGGAAATCAGGAACAAAATCAGAAACTGTTGGAAAAAATCATCTGGTCGGGCAGCACCTGTGGAGAGAGAAAGCAGAGTTAAGGTTTCGGTCGGGTCCAATGACTCTTCTTCAGAAAATCTTCTGAAGAAGGGTCGCTGGACCTGAAATGTTAACTCTACTTCCCCTCTACAGATACTGGCAGACCTGCTGAGATTTTCCAGCAATTTCTGATTACTCAGTTGTAGAGAGCTAGAAAATAGTACAATGGTAAAACAGAACAGGCTGGTACACTCACAAGGACACAAAGACATACCTGGCCCATCATCTTCCTCACTAATGCCTGGGAAATGCTCTTAACATTGGGAGAGCTGTTCCATGACCTATCAAACAGCAGCTTGACATAGTGAATTCTCAGGATCGTACATATCAAAGAATAAAGAACAAAGAAAATTACAGCACAGGAACAGGCCTTTCGGCCCTCCAAGCCTGCGCTGATCCAGATCCTCTGTCTAAACCTGTCGCCTATCTTCCAAGGATCTGTATCCCTCTGCTCCCTGCCCATTCATCTTAAATGACGCTATCGTGCCCGCCTCTACCACCTCCGCTGGAACGCATTCCAGGCACCCACCACCCTCTGCCTAAAGAACTTTCCACGCATATCTCCTTCAAACTATTCCCCTCTCACATTGAAATCGTGACCCCTAGTAACTGAGTCCCCCACTCTGGGGAAAAAGCTTCTTGCTATCCACCTTGTCTATACCTCTCATGATTTTGTAGACCTCAATCAGGTCCCCCCTCAACCTCCGTCTTTCTAATGTAAAGAATCCTAATCTACTCAACCTCTCTTCATAGCTAGCGCCCTCCATACCAGGCAACATCCTGGTGAACCTCCTCTGCACCCTCTCCAAAGCATCCACATCCTTTTGGTAACGTGGCAACCAGAACTGTACGCAGTATTCCAAATGTGGTCGAACCAAAGTCCTATACAACTGTAACATGACCTGCCAACTCTTGTACTCAATACCCCGTCTGATGAATGAAAGCATGCCGTATGCCGTCTTGACCACTCTATCGACCTGCGTTGCCACCTTCAGGGTACAATGGACCTGAACACCCAGATCTCTCTGTGCATCAATTTTCCCCAGGGCTTTTCCATTAACCGTATAGTTCGCTCTTGAATTGGATCTTCCAAAATGCATCACCTCGCATTTGCCTGGATTGAACTCCATCTGCCATTTCTCCGCCCAACTCTCCAATCTATCTATATTCTGCTGCATTCTCCGACAGTCCCCTTCACTATCTGCTACTCCACCAATCTTAGTGTCATCTGCAAACTTGCTAATCAGACCATCTATACCTTCCTCCAGATCATTTATGTATATCACAAACCATGTATATCCTTATGTATATCCTTCAAAATCTCAAGATTTTTCTGCCATATATGCCATGTCTGGGTCCCAGTTTTACCAAAAGAGAATAAAGTAATTTTAAATAACAACTGCTTGAAATTCTGATGCTTGATCTTTCTCCAGATTTTTTTCATATGTAGACTTATGTGCTGTAGGAACCTAGTCAGCACATTCTCACTCTCAACTTTAAACAGAATGAAGTAAGCGAGAGGCAAGACTATTCATGTTGAAATTAATTCATTGTTAAATGTGTAAAAGCTATACGAAGATAGAGGTTTGGTTATGGAGGTTTTGATGCATGAAATTATTGCTGACCTGATTTCGGCACACTGACAGATTCACCTAGAATTAAATCAATCCATGTTCCCAGTGGACAATGAGACAAAATGGTACTTGGATTTGCTCAAGTTGTGCTGGCTGGTAGTCTGGAGGATGCTGTGGTCAGCAATATTTTAAAACATTCCACAGACATCATTTGAACTTCCCTTCAAGGAGGGAACCCTTTAGATTGTTCAATTTCTCCTGTAAAGACTAGGAATGATGTTGATCTTCCATTTGAGAAAAAACTTTCAGTCTTGGCAAAATTTCTAATTTCACTTACATTACTGTAAGGTAACAAATGTATTAATGTTCAAGAGCCTTGGTTTTATTTCTCTACGATCACAGCTGCACTAATTTTGAGCTTGACTTTCCAAGTCTGCTATTCACATTTTTGACCTAGAGATATCCCTTCCCTCCATCTGGTTTCCGACTCCATGTTAATCTTTTTATCGGCACAATATTGGCTATTTGAATTTCATCACTTACTTAATTTAACACCTTGAAACTGCAGAAATTTATTTTTCAAATCATTATCAAAATTACTGACAACAGAAGCAAGGATTACTATCCTATTGTGTTTGAATCCCTTCTGGAACAAGATCCCACAGCAGGACAAGAAGTTCCAAGTTCCTGATCAGTTACTGACATCTCCTCTTGAGATCTTTCCTCTCCTCCTGTCTCCGTCACGGCATCATCCATCATGATTCACTAACCCATGTAGCCAACTTCTACGTTCTTGCCAGGACTTAGATGGGTCCTGTCCTGCTGAATTTATTTCTCCTATATTACAACCTGACTCCTCGCCCTAACCAGACCCTGTCATCTACATCCATGCTGACACACTTTTACTTCAGTGAATGGAATGAGAATCAAGTAGGTTCTGTAACAGTGAGAGGTCTAATCTGCAAGGTGGAATCTATGTGATGAAGGTGACAATTTAACACAACTTATCTGCACCTTTATTGTCTGACAACCCAAGTGTTTTCAAAATGTTCTGTTTCTCTGTTTAAATTAAAATAGAATTTAAGTTTGGTAAACAGTCTTTATTTCTTTTTTATGGCAGCTTACCCGCTGATGTTGCATTAGCAATTTTCACAGTTGGAGCCCAGACTACAGAGGGATGGGACTTCCTATTTGAGAAGTACAGGCACTCGCTTTTTAGCTCTGAGAAGAGCAAGATTAGAGCTGCCCTGACAATCAGCAAAAATACAGAGAAACTTCAATGGTAAATCATGTTAAGCATAATGTTATTTCTGTAATTGGAGTCAGCTTACACTTGTGTTAATTGATCTAAAGTTGCATGGTTTACTAAAAATCATACATATTCTGTACAAGCATTGCTACAGTGACTAATTTATACAGTAATAGAAACCTTTAAATACACTGATGTGCTTTTGTTTGTAGTTTGTATTTATTATTCTTTCTCCTATAAGTTCACTGTCACCCATATCATCCCTTCAGTTTTGTTTCTCTCAGTATCATGTTGTATTTTGCTGTTCACGCTTCCAAGTTAACTGTGGAAAGGGAAAGCCCATTCTAACTGACTCATAGCAAAGTTAATGAGTAACGTGACAAGGGAGTTAAAATTGAGAGATTGAACAGCGACAGAATGTGATACTTTAAAGAAGACAGCAATTAAAAATATGAGGAAGAGAAAATGACTAGAAATGAGGGATGTTTTGTTAACACTGCAGATTATACAGATGAGATTTGATAAAATAGATAAATGAAATAAATAAAATATGTTTTTTTTAGGGGGAGAAAAAAGCTTTTTTAAAGGCCTAGTCTTTGTACGAATATTGTATCAGTACACAAACAAGAGTATTAATCAAGAATACCAGATGAATCCTTAAAATATTTCATCTTAACTGCTTGTTGAGGAATTTATGTCTAGAGATTAATGATGTCTAAAATTGATTCATACATCAGTCAGATCAGATTATAGTAAAATATATACTATGACCTGCCATTCCAGAATCTCTCAAAGTACTGAGTGAATTAACCTTTGTTAATTATTAGAGTAACTGTGTTTATTACTAGCAAATAATTACACAACAATCATTAATTTTAGTATTTCAACACAGTTAGAACTTAAGTGAGGATATTTATTAGGCTAGGCCAATTGACATAAGATATAACATGATCAGTTTAGTTATATCACAGAAATGCAGTGTTAATTGACATTTTAATTACACTACAAATGTAATTTACACTTTGAGATCAGTGTCTGAGGAAGGTATAAATCAATGAGATAATTTATGATTAATTCCACATGACTCAATAAGATTACATAATCTATTGAAAAGTTTAAAGACACTGGGAAACCATTTCCAGTTAGGACACAGTTAGCAAGCTGGGTGCAAATTGTGCTCAAAATTGCACTTGTTTTACTGAATTGAATATTTTGATTATGTTTCTACTCAATATCTTTGCATACCATCAAATCTGAAATCTTCTGTGAACCTGTACAACTGGACAACATTTTAGTACATAACCATTTTTCTTGCATTAAAAAAAATCTTCAATACTTTAAAGAGGCAGTTACATTAATACAGTTGAAATTTGGTTTATTATAAACATAAGCATTTTTATAAGTTTCTCGGTAAATTAGATTTTCGAACATAAGATCTTCTGAAAGGTGTCTATTAGTGCCTTTATGCCTTAAAAAAGTTATTTGTGGGAGTCTCTTTGAAGGCAAACAGGTACAATTAGTGAACATCACTGTTGTAATTTATTTGACTGTGAGTCAGACAAATTTGTAGACAGAGCTAGGTTCTAGCACAAAGATTTTTAAACTAGTGCAAGAGTTTGCAGTGATGAAACTTCTGCTGAGTGCAATGTACACTTTAAATTCAGTAATCCTTTGCAGTAATTTTTGAACAAAATCACCTGGACAGTCCAGCTCAAACCAGTGGAACCTCTGCCGCTGTATGGTCATTGGCAACCTTGTTTCCTAAACCTGTACATCCATATGAGATGAGCGAGTTGTGTCACCTTATTTTCAGATGATGTATTGACCTCCTGAGATATCAGACTGATGTCTGTCAAGGAATTATTTGTTCTTCTGGACCTGCTGGCCTGAATATGACCAACCTGTCTCCAGGAAACTTGTACTTCGAAGTGAAGCATTTATTTTTAAGTTAAATTATAACTTAAAGATCTTAACCTCTGTAACCATTTTGTCTTTATGCCAGATATGGCATGTCTGGTTTTACAAACTATCTGTCTACTTATAACTCCTAAGGGTAGATTTTAACTTTGCCCATTGTGTAAATAAGATTATAATGAATTGGCAGCTTGATTCAGATATCTTCTGAATTCACTTCCACTGAAGTATATGGAGTGTCAGAAAATGTAAGGCAGACTGATGATTTCCTATGATCATTTTTACACTAACGCACAAAGTATAAATCTACCTCATAACCCTTTTATTACAAAGACCAGTGAAAACATTGAGCTAAATTAAGATTGAACATTAAGAACATTTGTACCAAAAGTGCAATCTTTAATACATAGCATTACATAGAAATCTCATCCATTTTATTGACCTATCTCTGTGCTCACTGGTAAAGAATTCAAGCTTTTTGTTATGCATCACAGCTTCTAGCCATATTCATATTGATATATATATATATATTCATTGGAAACTCAATTTTTTTGCTTATAATCAGGTTAATGGACCAAAGTTTGCAAGATGACATTATCAAAACACAAGATCTACCTTCGATTGTTATATTGGTGAACAAAAATCCAACTGGACATCATCTTGCTTGGGAATTTTTTAAGAAGAACTGGAACAAGTTAATAGAAAAGTATGTATTATTATATTAGTTTCTAATAACAATTGGAATCGGTTTCCATTTTGAGAATAAACCAGAAACTCTGCCCTGTTAGGTTTTAGATGTAAATTATACAATATACTCCTGTCTTTGAGTTGTGTTGCTACTATGAGGATGAGTGATTTGGTGAGGTGCTCTTGCTAGTTGCTCGAAAGCATGGGGTACTGTGTATGATATTTTTGTTCTCTTTGTTAGGAGAGATTGCAAACTCTGTTCAGCATTTCCTGTTGATCTAGCTTGAATTGGGAAGTGATTGAAATGGGGAATCCAACTTATTCTTCCTTTTGAAATCATGATGTTTGTTGATACACCAATGCTCAGCATCTACAGTCTCAAAGAAAATTAACAGCCCCTACTAGTGATACAGGGATGTTGAGTATTATCATAGACATTTACAGTGCAGAAAGATGTCAAAGGCTTGTTGTGTCGGAGCAATTGCCAATAATTATTGTAATGTTTACTTTTTAAAAAAAAAAGCAAGTTATCTAGTTTCAGCATTTACAGAATATGCCCATCCTCTTTTAAAAAAAAAAAAAAGTGGAGGCAAAGGGCCAGATTTTCATTTAAGATGGGAGTTGACAGTTGGGGGATTCTCAACATGGCAACCCTGCCTTCTGTTTGTCAGTGGCTGCCAATACCATTTTCATGGTAGGGAGTAAAGCCTTCTGCCTCTTGCAGCGTGCCCAAGATGGAGCCAGAAGCAGGCTGGTACACAGGCAGAGATAGTAGGAACTGCAGATGCTGGAGAATCTGAGATAACAAGGTGTA